CTCGAGGCCCCTGGGGGCCTCTATGGGGTCTCGAAGGGGCCTGCTGGCTTTCGGTGGGCCGTTTTGGGGGGGGGGCTCTCTGGGGCCATCTCGTGGCGTTGTGTCTGGGCGCTGTCGGGTCGCCTTGGAGGTCCCCGGGGCCGCGGGGCCGCCCCGGTGCCCCCTTGGCTTGGCATCGCTCGGACGTGTGCATGTTTCCTTCGGGGGAAAAACCTTGATCATATGGCGAAAAAACCACGCACGAAACCGAAAAAAGCACAGGGAATGGACGTCCGAGCGATGGCCAGTTGGGGGCCGTCTGCGGGGCCTCTCGAGCAGTCTCGGGGCCCACCTGGCCCGCCCCGGGGGCCCTCCCGTCTTGCGTCTTGTGCTTCTTGCTGGAGCACGTGGGGGCGTCCTCGGCCGTCGGGAGTCCTCGGCCGTCGGGAGACTGCGGAAACACCCAATGTCAATCAATGATGTTGGCAGCATGGGGCTCCTCTTGGAGCCCTCGTGGGGGTGCTTGGGCGCCCCTTGGGACGCGTCGGGGCCGTACGTGGCCGTCCTGGGCCCATCTTGGGCCGTCGTGGAGTCATCTCGTGGCCACCTTGGGCTCTCTTGAGGCCATCCTGGCAGTATTGGACGCGTCTTGGAGGCCATCTTGTCGGGGGCGGCAAAGAGGGGGGTGATGACTAGGGGGGGTGGATATCAGGGCGTGGGCCATGATATCTCCCCAGATTTCATGGCGCCTTTTCTTATTTCATGACGTCCCTGGCCCCCCCCCCGCTGGGCCGCGCACATGTCGCCGGTCATGATTTGCACCCCTTCTTGGACACCCCCCTCTTGGCCGCTCCCGATCTTGGAGCCATCCTGGGCGGAAATATCATTGCCTTCCACCTTTCCCGTAAGACTGGGATGCGCCAAAGGCCATTGGAAACCGTTCGGATGGGCTTCAGAACAATACAAGCGTCCAGCACGCGAAGCATCCCTGTGGCAAGCACAGGGGGCGGCGGACCCAGCGGCCTCCGGTCCATCCGGGCATCGTGCTCGGGTTGTAGGTCAGAGGCCTATTGGATGCTTGGTTGGATCTCAGTGGGCCCCGGCAACGGCAGGGCCTTGTTTTTCACCGTTTCCCCAAAAAGTGTCTTTTGAAAATGGAAACGGCAAAAAAACGGCAACCGGAAACGGCAACAACAACGGCTCCAGGCTGGGAACCGGAGCCGGAACCGGTAAAGCAACGGTGACGGAAGCGGTTAAAAAACGGTAACACGGAATTGGCAGAAAAACAGCAAAACGGCACTGGTAACAGAAGCGGCCCTGTCGGTGCCAGGGCCCACTTAAGGGTCAGAGGCCTCTTGGAAGCCTGTCTGGACCTCTTGGGGGACCTCTCTCAGCCACGCGCAGAGGGTGATGGGGGGAGGGGTGAGGTGGGGGGAGGGGATGGCTTCTTAGAAGCACCCCCTGCTTCTTAGAAGGCGCGGGCCGTTTCTATAAGTGTAAGGCCAGCGCCTTCTAAGAAGCAGCGTCCTTCTAAGAAGCCCCCCCCCCCCCCCCCACCCTCTTGTGCGCGCCGCCAACTCTCGGAATGGCTCGAGGTGTGCCGTTGTTCCCCCCTCTGGAGGCCCTCTTGGGCCCCGCGGCCTCGCGGGCTGCCCTCGGGGTCTTCCGTGGTCGCTCCAAGGCAACCTCTTGGCGTCCTCCTGGGCCGTTTTGCGGCAGTACTCCAAATCCCTTATTCATCGTCCCCCGGGTCCGGTTTTGTAAGGCGCCTTTTCTGTAACTGGGGGGGGTCCGGTTTATTAGGGCGCTTCCATTGGATTGGAGCTTAGGGGGTCCGGTGTATTACGACGCCCCGTCGAGGAGGGGGACCAGAATATTAAGTCGCACTTGGAGGGGGGTCCGGTTTTATAGGGGGGGGGGGTCGCTTAATGAGGGATTTGGAGTATTGTGCGTCCTGGATCGCTCTTGGGCCGTCTTGGGGCTCTCTTGGACCGCCCAGCGAGGGGGTAAGCTGTGAGGGCGCTCTTGTCATGGGGTAGGGAAGGGTGCGGTGCAAAGGGGTGTGTTGCCAATGCTGGATCTGGCGAGGTAATTGATCGTAGATAACAGCGCCGCTTCCAAGATTGTGGAGCCAATGCTGGATCTGGCGAGGTTACCTATCGTAGATAACATCGCCATTTCCACGACTGGCACCACACCCCTTTACTCCAAATCCCTTATTAACCGACCCCCCCAAAAAGCTGGACCCCCTTCCACATGCGACCTAATATTCCGGACCCCCCTCCTCGACGGGGCGCCTCAATAAATTGGACCCTCCAAGCTCCAATCCAAATGAAGCGCCCTGATAAACCAGACCCCCCCCAGTTACAAAGAAGGCGCCTTACAAAACCGGAACCGGGGGACGATCGATAAGGGATTTGGAGTATGGCACACTTCTTTCTTCGGGTTGACCCAAAAGGAATGGGGTCCAGCGACAAGGGGGGGTGCAATAGACTTGGTGCAATAGATTTGTGGGGTTGCAATACACTTGGGGCGTGCAATACATTCCAGGGCGCAAATATTGTATTGCTGGAGTTTCGCGTGCAATGCACTACTTGCAATACAACGCAATACAATTCTCCAGCGCAGTGCATTTGTAACACAAGTGCCCCAAATCTGTTGCACCACCCGCTTTCAGCTGGACCCCCTTCTGGGCCACCCGAAGCTCCGACCTCCAGACCTTGGGCCCTCGTTGGCGCTCTCTCCCTGGCGTCTCGGCGCGGGGCCGCACGGCCGCTCTAATTTTGAGTCGGGCGTGTCCCCCTAGAGGAGGTTTTTTGACGAAAAATAAGAAAATACACTAAAAATAATCAAAAAATAATGCAAAAATATTTTGGGGACTATTTTTTGACTACTTTTTAACCTTTGTGGGGTATTTTGGGGTATCTTTTATTTTTTCGTCGAAAATCCCCCTGTAGGGGAACAGGCCCGACTTAACTCTAAGTAGTGAAGGCGGTGGGTCCCTCTGAGGCATCTCTGCAAGACTCACGTCGGGCGTGCCACTCTACTCCTAATCCCTTATGAACCGACCCCCCCTAAAGAAACCGGACCCCCCTCCAAGTGCGACCTAATATTCCGGACCCCCCTCCTCGACGGGGCGCCTTGATGAACCGGACCCCCTAAGCTCCAATCCACAGAAAGCGCCCTAAAAAACCAGCCCCCCCATTTACAACAGAGGCGCCTAAAAAAATTGACTTGGGGGACGACTCATAAGGGATTTGGACTACAGGCGGAGTTTTCAGAAATAGTCCAAGAATAGTGCGGAGACGATGTTGTTAAAGCATGGTTGCACATCTTCGAGCATTTGTTTGGATTTTTTATTGCTCGTCCAAAAAATCCGCCTGCAGGGGGACATGCCCGACCTCTTGCAAAGACCCAGAGCGCAATCCGGAGGACTCCCGAGGGGCCCGGGGACACCGCCGCGTGCCGAGGCGCAGGGCCCCGAGGCATCCCTGCCGAGGAGCCCCCTGCCGGCCTCCTGGGTGCCCCGGGTGTCCTGGTGGTCGCCGGTTTTGCGATGGGGAGCGCGGCGCTCCCTCACCCAGAAATCGACAGGCGCCCTGGGGGTCTCGGGGTCGGGTCTCGTGCGGAAGGCTTCCTGCGGACTGGCCTCCACACAGCAGCTGTCTCTTGGGGTCTCCTGCGACGCCGTCTGGAGGCCTGCCTGGGCCTCCTCGCGGCCTCTTGAAGCCCTCTTGGGGACGCTTTGGGGGCACCCAATTAAGGGGGCCTCCTAGCGATCCATCTTGAGGCGGGGGCTCGAGATGTCCGTCAGCCTTCCCCCGGTTGCGCCTCCCTCAGGGCCTTCGGGGGTCCTGTGACGCGATGTTGGGGGCCTATGTTGCCGTCTTGGGCGCTCTTGCGACTGAAGTGTTGAGACACGTGTGCGAATGTCACATATGCGAAGCCGTTGTTATCGTTGTTAGCGTTGTTGGCGTTGTTGGCGTTGTTTTCGCTGTCGTTGTTACCACTGTCGTTGTTATCGTTATTACCGTTGTGATCGTTGTCGCTGATCGTTGTCGTTGTTATCGTTGTCGTTGTCATCGTTGTTATCGTTGTAATCGTTGCTATCGCGTTGCCCAGACTTTTGATTATGTGGGCCTCCAGGGCTGGCCCCGAGTGTCTCCAAACCAGCCCCAAGAGGCGTCCCAAAAGGGCGCCAGGACGGGCATAAAGAGACCGCTCTTAGGCCATGTGTCGGAAGTGTGGAAGTTACCAGCCCGGCTCGCGAGGCCTCCTGGAAGAGTCGCGCGGAATGGCCCCCAAAAGTCACCCGCCGCGCCCCAGGAGATCCATCGAAGGGACTCTGGGCCCCTGAGAGACCAGTCGAATCCTCCTCCGCCTCCTTCTCCGCCTCCTCCTCCTCCTCCTCCTCCGCCTCCTCCTCCTCCTCCTGCTAGTCCTCCTCCTCCCCCTCCCCCAGCCGCTCCGGGCAATGAACCAATCACGACCGGAAATTTTTCGCTATCGTCGGCCTCCAGGGGCCCTTCTCGGGTCGGGACCGTCAACAAAACGACTCGGGATGACAAACCGGTCCCCGGGGAACGGGTCCACGCCTCGAGGGCTTGGGTTCAGAGGACTCGGAGGGACCTGAGGACACTCCACAGACAGCGACACTGCGGCGGATTGTGTGTGGTGTCTGTGGTACTCCTCGTTCTCCTCCTCCTGCTCCTCCTCCTCGTCGTCCTCCTCCTCCTTCCTCCTCCTCATCCTCCTCCTCCTCCTCCTCCTCTGACCCCCCCCTCTGTTGGGGGGGGGCGGGATACGTTGGGTGAACCAGAACGAACCGCCAGGCGGATTGGCACATAGGTCGTTCCAGAAAAGGGTCTCGATTTCGGCATATCCTCGCGCTCGGCATGGCGGCGGCCGCCGGCGAAAGTAGGCCCCTGGCGGCTCCGGCGGAAGGCGGCGGAAGTAAGAGTGAGACGCAAATGTTAGTTTGTACCCAGGGGGTCGGAGTCGGCCAATGTGGAGGTGCTCGCAGGCAGTTCGGGTCAAGCCGTGGAGCCCCAGATGCCAACCTGGCACGGGCATTGTAGAACATTTGGTGTGCCAGTTGCATTCTCGCTGGCCGCCGAGCCCGCAGAGCGCTCTGGACATGCAGGCGCAGCCGCCAGACTTCATCGCAGCGCTGGAGCAGATGTCCACGTTGAAGGACTACTTGCTGTATTTGCATGAAAGCGAAGTCGCGCAGCTCAGGGACGAGGGCGATCGCCTCAAGGAGCACGTCTTCACTCTCCGCAGCCTCGTGAAGAAGGATCCGAGATCCAACGAGTTTCGTAAACACAGCGGTTTCGGGGTTCCGGGGGAACTTCTTGGGTCGGCGCTGGAACCCCAGGTCTGGTGCTGACTCGCGGAGTCCGCGCGGGCCTCTAGACGTCTACATGTGCGCCATCCTTCAGGAGAGGAAAAAACACACTGACGCAATGAATCGTCGATTCCCAGGAAAATATGGGAAAAGATGGGAAGTGGGGGGGGAAGACGAAAGTCCAAAACATATGGAACAATATGGGGAATCCTGTCGTTTGTGTGTATTTATTTGTGTGTCCCAGGGCCCCTCCAATCCTTGCTCCTCCAGAGGACGGTGACGACGACGAGGCGAGCGAGCAACCCACCACGGTGAGCGCGCAGGGCGAGGCGTCGCACGCTGCAGGCCCCGCGTGGGCCTGCGAGCCTGGAGCGCTCGCCGTCCGGAAGGTGCGGCGGCGCGCGGAGAGCGGGATGGGGCGCGAGGGGGGCCCCGCCTCCTCCTCCCCCTCCTCCTCCTCCTCCTCCTCCTCCTCCCCCTCCTCCTCCTCCTCCTCCTCCTCCT